AACCACAGTTTCAGCTGGGAAACTCAGCATCCTAGACCAAGCTAAATCCAAAAACGCTAGGGAATTCCTGGAAGCCTGGCATTCAGACACACAGAGATAAACCACGTTTACCCACCATTCAAAAGAGACAATAAAAAAGCTAAGAAGGAAACAAAGAGACCAGAACACATCCCCTCCAGCAGCAATACCCGGATAAGCAGGATTAACCCCAGGCAAACAATCAAGCAGAAAACAAGGCCCTAATCAAGGAGCCACCAAGGAGAAAACCAGAGCCCCGCCAACACTGGCAGGGCAAGCGACTGTATATAAGGCAAGTATGAATTAAGGTCATTAAGAAAGAACTTTCTTTAAGAAAAATAAACTCTAAATGTCATAGAGGGTTTATATAAATTTAGAGCATAACTGCACTTGCATACTCTATGTGTTTCTAGTTAGTAAAAATTAATTTAAAAAAGAACAATATTACAGAACTGGATTAATTTTCAAAAAGAGCAAACAGAATTATCTAGGAACTTGAGCAATTCCCTTATGAAAAAGTGTTGCAATATTGTTGTTTAACCAAAAGTCTCAGGCCATGCCATTTTGTAAAGGACAAATGTGGTCATGGAAGTCTAAGCCAGTTGTTGTTTTTTGCCCCTTTGAGCAGCATTGACTCTTGGCGACCGGAAGCAGTTTGTCTTTGCCTCCTTCTTCCTAGGATTGAGAGAGAGTGACTGGCCCACGGTCATCCGGCTGGCTTCGTGCTTCAGGCGGGACTAGAACTCAGGGTCTGCCGGTTTCTAGCCCGGAGCCTTAACCACGACACCACACTGGCTCTTGGGTTATAAATACTGTTCAACGAATCCGTCAGTGAAGGTTCTGGCTGAATCTGCAGGAGGAATTTCCTGCCAGGAGAGCTGTTCGGCCGTAGCACCTGGGACAATGGTGGACCCGACCCTCCATGCAACTGCAGGTTTTCAAACGGAGTAGGAGAAATCTCTCCCACGAGTTGCTTCATAAGAGGGACCAAACACACTCATTCACGGATGCCCAAACTGTTTATTACAACAGAGGAGTCAACAAAGGCTAGCCTAAAAGGCGATGGTGGCGCAACCCAGCTCTGTAGGGTTATGCAAGTGACACGTGAACACACGTAAACACCGTGGTGCAGCAGGGTGATTGTTTGGCTATAGCAGCCTGGTTTGGCTGGATAAGGATGTTGCTGACGTTCAGATGCGGAGGGAAGGACACCAAGGACATGCCAGATTTCTAAAGCAAATGTAAAAATCTGCAGTAGAAAAAAATGGCTAATAACGTTGTTTCATCTTCTTCTACTTCATCCTTGATTTCATTATCAACCACTTCATAAACACTGAAATTGGAAACTATAATAATGAAGTGTTATAGTTCATCTGATTTAGGCAATCTTGAATTCGCTAACAGTTTTTACTAAGTTTGATTTATGTTTATTTTATTTGTAACATGTTGGCTGTTTATCAGGAGGGGCCAGTGAACCACTCCGGCCCTCCAAGTAGTGCTGTTCTCCACCCCCGCAGCTAAAAAAGGTGCACCTAAGTCATTCATACCGTGTCTTTGCTGTTGTTTCCCAAGCCGGGAAGGCTAAGATCGAAGCACCGAATGCACCGGCCGAGGACTGCCCGGACGCCCTGCTCTCCGTCAGAGAGGAATGCAGAACCTTTTGCAGGAATCTTGCTGGAAGCGTCTCGCTTCCCTTGGCAGGAGCCCCTGGCCCCGGAGGCTTTGGATTCTTCTGGAAGCCTGACCATTAGCAACAGAGATTTCCTCCCTGACAAGAAACAGAGCCTGCCATTGGCCCTGCTCATATTGAGCAATCTCTTTGAGGTGTTTTTACAACTAGACCTTCAACTTTGGAAATGCGTCTCCCCTCCTCCCCCAAGTTCTGGGGGGGCAAGAGGCCCGCTCAGCCCCTGCAGACTGCCCTGCCCTGCCCGTGCTGGTGAGTCCCCACCTTCCGCTCCTCCCCTTCCCCAACAGCCTGTGGGAAGAGAAAAGCCGTTCGCCAGACCAGGCTAGTTGGCCAGAGAGGTTTCTCTACAGCCCAGAATGTGGAGCCTGGCTGGGCCTGCGGCCATCCTCCTTCTCACCTGCCTTCAGCCAGGAAATGCCTTCTGGCTCTTCAATGTGCTCTTCCCGCCCAGCACGACCCCAGAAGCTGCTGCTTCCAACAGAATGCCTCCTGTGGTGCTCGGTAAGTTGGCACAAGGATGGGCAGCCAGCCGGTCGTGGGGGGAGCACAGGAGGCGGTCTGGTGGGGCTGCTTGCTGGCAATGGGCAAGAAGGCTGGGAGGAAGGCCATGCCATTGACTTGCTCCTTCCAAAGAACCGAGATGGGGGGCTTTTTCTAAGACGTCACTGGATGGAACTGGAGGGCGGACGGGCAAGGACAGGAGGGTTTTTTTAAGGCTGTCCTGCTCACAAGGATGGTCCAGGCTCAAAGGCATCCCCTGCGATATCTGACAGAAGAGATCTGGTGGAGCATGATCACGTGCTCATGAGATAACTGCTAGGTGGCAGGGGGGCATGGAATTCGCTTATCCTTGTTTGGATGAAGGCCTTTCCTTGGTGTGAACAAGGCTGTCAGGAGATCAGAGATGAGGCTGAAATGTAACCGAATCATGAGTGAGTGAGGTGGGGTTTCGTTTTGCATCTTTTAGGATGGAAGGTCTATTGGAGGTCATTCTCCTGTGGAAATGTTGCAGATTCCCCAAGCCTATAGCCTCTCTTGTTTTTTCAGCATCTGAAGAGTCTCTCTAAAACTGACAAAGCATTTAGGAGAGATCAGAGTCTGCTGTATAAGATGAGCTGACCTCTTCTCTCGGTCCAAGATGGGGCCCCAAACAGCCAACACTCACCCAAGCCCCAACCCTTGCGTGTAGGAGAGGGGCCAGCTGCCTTCTGCTCCAGGCACCCAGGGGGGCTCCCACGAACAATCACCCTGCTTCACACACAAGGTCCAGGCAGTGCCGTCTTGCCATTCCAACACTCCTATGGCTGGGGAGGGAAAGGCAAGCAATTCTGCAAAGCCTTTGAACTGGCAGCACTAGTAACCCAGCCCCTGGCCACAGACCTGAAGCTTCCCAAATTGTCCTCAGCTGCCAATTTTAGAAGGACAAGAAGGAAGTGTCCATTTTGCCTGTTGGGTTTGGAGGTGAATGAAGGCCTTAACCTCCTTCCATTCAGCAATCCAGATGGTGATGTCACCATGTAGCTACCAATTAAAATGCACAATGAAGTGAAATTGGATCTGGAAGTTAACTTTACCAACTGCACAGCCCCCGCTTTTAAGCAGGTATCTTATAGTTTGCTTCTCCTTAGTTCTTTAAACTCATCTTGATGTTAACCAGTCAGAAATCCCTAAGTATGTATGTTGAATTATTCTCACAAAATGCTGAAGGAGAGCTAGGAAGAGAAGGGGAGAAGAAACAGGAGAATGAGTCTGCTCTTGCTCCAAAAGCCTAGCCAGAGAAGGTCCTTGTGGCTCTCAAGCAATGGAGGGAAGGGCCACTGCTTTCCAGGGGTCATCTTTTCTCTGCTTCTGCAACAGAGTGCGGGAAAGGCCCTCTCACAGCATCCCGCTTTTTGTGGCAGTTAAAAAGAACAAGAGCTCTGCCCCACAGTGAACCTGTAGCCAGTCTGTCCCTCTTTACTGCCAGAGCTCTCCCCCTTCTGGGGATCACGTCCTGTCTCTTTCCCTTTTGACCTGAGATTATCTTCTTGCACAGAGTATTGACCTCCTGAACAGCACTTGCTGAACTTTGCTTTGTTTGCATGACACCTGAAGGATACAGCCAGACAAAGTTATCATCACAGACGTTAATTGCATTAATTGCCAAGACAGCAGGGCAATGGAAAAAAACGAGGGCTTGGGAGACCTCCCAAAGAACATCAGAAGTTCGGCAATAGTTCTGTCCACTTCCAGAGCCCAGAAACCATCCAGCATCTTTCATAAGCCCAAGGCAGAACACCTGAAAGGGTGACGGGTGAGGTGGACTTTCCAGCACCTATAATGCTTTTAGGGGTGGCAGCCTAGTCGTATAATCAATACTAAGGACCGGGAGTGGACCCAGCCAGATGGTGAAGGCATTCCTACAATAAATTGCTATAAAAGGAAAGCATATGATATCAAGTACCTCTCAAATTGTATAATCTTGAAATGTATAATTATAAATGTATAATTGCAAGGCTGGCGTTAAGTATTCTCTGTAACAAGTGAGCACAAGGCAATCAAATGAAGGAACATGGATGTCTGTAGGGTATGGTCAAAAAAGTCAAGATGGCAAGCACAATGATGCAGTCAAAACTCTGCCCATGTTTTCTGTGAGTTGCACATAAAAAATGGATGGAGCTTCAACTGGCCGTCATGGCCACACCCTGCAGATCACTCCTCGTGGACAGCCTGAGCAAGTGCCAAAGGAGAGGGAGAGGGAGAGGGAGAGGGAGAGGAAGGAAAACCTCAGGTGGCGGGCCGATCCACAAATCTCCGCAGCTATTTTGACACGGAAAACGGTACAGAAACAGACAGATGTCTTCCATGGCTGACAGGCACAACACAAGCATAATTTTAAGCCAATGCGGTACAGTAGCTGGGTCTTCTGTGGCCCCAACCCCCCTATTTTAAAAGGTGCAGCCCCCGACCCCCCAAGGCCACTTGCTGCTCTTGGGAAGTGTCCAGGCGGTGCTTCCTCCAGCCCTCGGCCAAATCAGGGCTGCCTGGACCATAGAGGATCTTCCTCAGTTGGCGTCGCTCTTTAGCACCAACAGGCCACCAGAGACGCCCCCTTTTACCTCTCGGAGGGATTTTCCCTTTGGCCTTTTGCTGGGAGTGGGGCCTGGGTCTCCATTCCCACCATCAGGGTCGGAGAACTGCCAGGACCTGGGGATCAGGGCTTCCCTCTACAGGGACGGCAGCTGTTCTTCTTGGGCTTAACTGCTGCTGAGCAAAAGGGAAGTCTTTACAGTGTGCCAGGCAGCTGGGCAGGAGTGATTAATTCACACACACACACACCCATGCACTTGTTCCTTCCCATCTTGTCATGCCCTATATGGCAATTCAAAAAACACTGCATTTATGTGAATGGCACCTAATTTTGGTAAGATTTGGAAAGCAGGGAGGGAGGGAGGGAAGGAATGTGGGCCGGGAGATAAAGAAGGAAGGGAGACAAGGGGGGAAAAATTGCAGAGAGAACAGCTGTAGGTCTGTTGCAAAGACAAAGAGGCAACAGGTGATGGCGAGAAGGCAGAATCTGACACACCGTAGACTTCTTCTCTCAGAAGGGAAGCAAAGCCATCTGGCCATTGTGGTGCCCACCGGGGGAAGGAGGGAGCCACTTCTGAGAACAGAGCAGGAGGGGGAAAGGGAGGACCAAGTCTCCAGGGCCATTAATCTTAGGTGGAGGTACTGAAGAAACCAGGAGGCTAGGGCACTTCAGAGCCATCACTATAATCTTTGAGAGCTCCTGGAGGACTGGAGAGAAGATGCTGCCTGTATCTCCTCAAAAGAGAAGAACAGGCCTGTCATGTCTATATTGGGCAAGGCCTCAAGCAGATTCTTGAACATCATATTTGGGAGCTCTTGGATAGGAATGCAATGAGTAAGAAGAACCAGCATGAGTTTGTCAGGAACAAATTAAGCTGGCCTCTCTCTCTCTCTCTCTCTCTGTCTTTTTCATGAAAGGATCATCTGGGTTCCTGTGACAGTAATAATCCAAAGGCTGGTGGCAGTTGTACATTATGCTCCACTGTCCTGTCACCACCTCCTTAAAAGTCCCCCTCCCTGAAATGGGCCTTTTCCTCAGCCTGCACAGCTGGCAGGGAGTCAAGGAAGCCCAGTGGCTTTATAAAGAAAGTGCCTCCAAAGCCCCTTTCCCTCTTTGGATGTGAAAATGGCACACTTCTGATGACACTGGAAGACCCCAAGATGAGTCTGGGGAAAAACTGCAACGCTCCAAATGAATGTCATCTCTCCTGCTGGGGGACATGAAGGGATGAGAGGGGATGAGATGAGAAGGCCCAGAAAAAGTTATTGGCCCATTTGGTGACCGAAGACTGAATGAGATGCATTAGTAAATACCCTGCTTTGAGAAATGTTTGGGTCAAATATGTGATTGCAGTAGATGCCTCTGAACGCATACCCATGGGAAAATAATGAATATAAATCTAAACTCATATTTCATTTGATGAGTTTATTTTGAAAGATTGAGAAAATTAGTAAAGAATGCAAGGGAGGTATTAAATTGGCACAACCCATTATCTGGTAGCATCACAAGTGGATTTTAGGAAAAATGGACATGGAAGAAAAGAAGGGAAAGCAGAATGACTGAAAGAAGAGGAAATGCAAATGCTACATGAACAAGTATTAGAAGATAGATCAATCTTCCAGCACAGTGAATGGAAAGTGGACATAAAGATAGAGGGAAGTTGCTTGGAACACAGTGAAAAAATTAGGCTGCAAACAGCGATAGAAGTTTGTGGAGTTACACTAATGGGAAGAATGGAAAAGGATCCTTGGTGGAATAATGAAGCGAAAGAGGCTGTGAGTGAGAAATCATAAGTTGTGGGCATGTTGCAAAAACAAAGCAAAAAAGATACTGGATAACATGGTTATGGAGAGAAAAAATAGTTGCAAAAAAATAGCAAAAAAGCAAGAACAGGTTGATATTAAAACAGACGAAGAAAATGCGGAGTGGTTTTGATGGAAAATTTAAAAAAACTATTTGGGAAATGGATAAAAAGCAGCTTCCAAGCAGAGTAAATGGAATTAAAAATAAATAAAATTAACCTGGACTGATCGAATGCTGGAAGGAGTATTTATAGATTTGCATGGAAATTATAGTATTGTGTCACAGAGTGGAACTGAAATGAGTAGTCTAAATGTTAGGTTCCAAGAAAAAATGGATGAAAAGGAAGCCATAAATGCTCTGAGAACATTGAAAAATGATAAGGCTGCCCTTGCAGCTGATCTCACTGGAGAGGAGTTAAAATATGGATGTGGCAAAATTTGGCAGTCCACGGAGGGTCAGCTGACCTTGCAAGCAGGACGATGCCCACTGATGCCCCGATGCCAGTGAAAAACAGGGAGCTGCTGGGCCGGTTCCTGGCAGCCAGAAGCCCCACCACCAAGGGCTTACTCGGAACAGCCCAGTTTTGCTCCTGGCTATTTGGCCAGTGAAGCTGCCCCTGTTGAACGTTTGTTTCAGTTCCTTCTAAGTAGGGAGTTACCTACCACCACAACTCTCCTCTTTGTCTTTTAGAGGGCAGGCTGCATCCTCTCTGCCTCCCATTTTACACTGCTTCCTTTTCTCAGAGTCTGTTTTGTCTGCACAGGCTGGAGTTTCAGCAGGGCAGGATATTTTCTGTGCCTCTCCCTTCTGGTTCTTGCTCTCATCCATCGGACGTGTGCCTCTGTTTGACAGTCTCCCTTTGGAAGAGTTGCATGCCCGGTGGCTTTTATCCTTTCCTTGGACTGGCACCTCCTGTCCTTTCTTGTCTCTCTGACTTTTCCTAGCCAAAGGTGGCCTGGCCACAGTAAGCCATGCTCTGGTGACCACAGATCACTGCCGTGTACTTTGCGTGAGGTTATCTTGGAAGTTGACCCAGAACGAGGCCAACGCGCCCCTGGCTTGTGTTCTTTCTTAGAGAGTTCTTAACTGAGATTCCAGAAGAAGTTGTTGCTAAAACCCTTTATTTTATAACCATTTTAGCATTCTCACAGTTTTCCATTTTGTTTCTCTGCCCCACTCTTCTGGTAATTCCCTCCTCTTCCTGACTGGTTGCAACGTCTCATTGGATTTGTAGTATCTTATTACTTTTCTCTGGTTTTTTTAGATAGGAACAAGCAAGCAGTGATAAACCAGCTTTTCTAACGTAAGAGAACGTCACATTTCCAAAGGTGAAACAGACAGATATTGAAGACCCCACCCCAAACTACATAACCTAATTGTGAAATCTCTCTCTCTCCTCTTCCTACCTGGTTACAAAATCTCCTGTGATTTGTCGTGTTTCGTTGCCCCCAGTTTTAAAGGAATTGCACTGCTGCATTTATGCTACTGCTTGGAGTTCAAGTTCTTGGCAATTATATTAAAGGTCTTCACAATTTAGGCCTGATATTCAAGGCCGCTCCTACCATGTACCTGCTTGAACATAAAGACCATCTGGGCGGTGTGCTCTCCCTGGCTCTTGGTCGGCAGGAGAGTGTTATGTGGGTTTGCTGGAGAGTCTCTCATGGCTGAGAATATCTCAGTCGAAGGGTGGCCTAGTTTGCATTTCAGCACCAAGCAAAGCCTGACTTTTACTCAGGCATTCGGGGCTTGGCAATCATAGCCCGGACGTGTGCCTTGTTGTTTAGGGCTCCTAATCCAGACAAATGTAGATGGTGGCAAAATGCAGAAAACAGTGAGTGCTCCCATCTAGTGATTGTCTGGATTTTGGCATTCCAGAACTGGGAACCTTCCCGTCGCTGCCTATGGAACTCTGAGCCTCTGTTAATGACAGCAGCCCGTAATGCTTTGCACAGGGCTGCAGAGGGGGACGGCATTGCCAGTCTGAACTTGGGGATCTCATGCGGTAACAAATTGCTCAAAGGTACACACAGCTCACAGAGAACCTCTGTTAACCTACAAACATTTTATGAATTACAATCGCTTCAGCAGTACACACAGACACACGGACGATTGTATATGCTGTGCTGCACCGTGGCCAGGTGATACACGGGGACTGGGGAAGGCAGGAATGCCAGGTAGATGACAATTGGATCCATAAATGAGGTCTTCCAATCGGTTCCCTGCCCTGCCTTCTTTTTTCTCCTCGGCCAGCAGCAATTCATCAGCACTCCGTTATGGGTCACCTCAGCTGTCCTTTGGTTAGCTTGGTGAAATATGACTTGCAGCAGGGCAGATGGCTTTGTTATCTCTGCTTGCTGCTTCAGGCTGACTCCCTTATCTCCTCAGCTTCCTTGCTCCTGTACATGTCTGCATTCTTCTCTAGGGTCAGGCTTTGATGATTCTACTCCGTAGACTTCTCGCAACACTTTATTTCTTATAACAACTGTGGCATGACAGGACCAAGAATCAGTTTTAGGAAATGTTGAAAGTGATCCGGTTCTCTTTGTGACTTTTACTTGGTTTTTAGAAACACTTTATTAAACCTCATGACATGAGAATATGGGCACCTACAGATGTCTGCTGGATCTGTGGTGTCCAACTCAGCTTGTTCCTGCAGCGGTGCTGGGACCTGCAGATGTCTTTCCCATCAGCTTGTGATGTGCTGAAGAGAGATGGAAGGAAGGCCAGAAGACTCTACCAGTGGCTTTGCCCATCATGCTCTGCACACACAGACAATCAAGGCGGCAGCGTTCGTCAGTGCCTCAGAACTGACCCAGTCATGCAGAACCCCAATGGCAGGGGACGGCAGCAAAGCTGTGCTGGCATGGCTGTCTTGAGGACGGGTGGGGAGCCTTTTCACTCACTAGAGGGAAGAGTCACTTGGAGGAGTAGAAGCAGGCAGAAAGCTGAGCGTGATTTAAAAAATGCCTGGCTCCAGATGACTCTGGGGACTTTACGTAATTGAAAAGGCAGAGCAATAGAAAAAAAGACAGATGATGTGCATCCAGAAAGATCAAACCCAACAAAACAAAATTCTACCAAACAAAATCTTATGGGGGCTAGTCCCCAACCCTAGCTACAGGCCTGGGAGAATAATGGGGTTTTTAGTGCCTTGCAAAACATCTTCCGAGGGGATGTGTATGGACCTCTGTGCTAATACTCTGCCAGAGGGCAGGTGCTGTCTAGCCAGGTGGAGCTGTTTGAACAGGAGACTAGGAATGTAGAGAATGTAAGCTTACAGCTTCCCTTCAACAGATAGGATTGCAGGTGGAAGAAATGGGAGGCTAGGATTTCTGTATACAGGGGAGGTACAGGAGAAGGACACACAGGATTTGAAGCAGGACTGGGTATAAATTCTGTACTATCTCCCCCATCTGCTCAGAGATTGTCAACTGCCATGGCTGCTGCTCCAGAACTGAAGCAAAGGTTTAGTTTTTAACTGTGTTGGTCCAAGTGTCTGGGGAGTTACAGCCAGGTATGTTTCTGTGTTCAGGGAGAAGGACCAACACAAAGGACAAAGTGTCTCCTACATGTTGTTCAGCAGCTACCATCAAAGGAGATGCTCAGATTGTGGGACCTGCAGGCAATTTCTGTGCTCCAGGCAACTGGCAATAGGTTCAGCAAGGGGTGCACTGGCATCCATGAGGCCCCATCTCTTGCTGATATGTGCACGTGAATGCTGCCAGGGAACTTAAATAATTCATTGGTTAACTAGATAGTTGTAAAAAAAGGAAAAGGTGATTTCAAGTCACAAAAAGCAGATCTGGAGTCTTACATCCAGACTTACATCCAGTTCTGGGTGCTGGACTTTAAGGATCTAAAGAGGTTGGAAGAGTTGAGAGGATAGGAATGGAATCACTCAGGAGATGGAAACAGTGAAGGAATCAGGTCTAGCTTGGGGAACAGTGTCAGGGAGGAATATTCTTGGAACCCTGAAGAAATACCTGGAGCGGTATGGGGAAGCAATAGATGCCAGTGGAAGGGTGGAGAGAGGGAGAAGAGCTAGGAAATGAATAAGGAAGTGATTACGAAGCTCTCAAGATTCAGGCAACTTAGAGGAAGTAAGAGTCCTTCATAGATGCTGAGCTGGGTGTTTCATGTGGCTGAAACCCCAAAGAGGCAAGCCTACCACTCTGACTTAAAAGTATGGGGATGAGGATGCAGGGATGTTCCTGGCTTCTTTTAATCATAGCATTTCTGTGCATTTCCAAGGAACACGAGTGAGCATGACTTTAGCAAATCTCCAACAAAAGAGAACTTTTCAGTAACAGGCACGCCTTTCAAGAACATTCTCCAGATCACAGAGCATCTTTGAGGGCTGAGGACTCCACTTAGCTTTTCAATAGCCCATGGGGACCATGCTGTAAAGAAATAGTGGAAAATAGGGAGAAGAGAATAAAATCTCCTTCAGGTCATGCTCAACTCTGATGACATGACACGTCCACATTGGTTTGTTGGCAACAGTATGGAGGTGGTTGTCATGGCCTTCCTCCATGATATTTTTTTTCAACTACCCAGCCTACAGTCCTGGTGGACCTTGAGGTCTCCCATCCACGTACTCATAAGGTCTAACTCTACTCAGTTTTTTTTCACATCAGAGAAATCAGCCAGGTGCTATCAACTATTGTGACATGTGAGGTAAGAGCCAACGTTAAATTCGATTTGACTTCATTTACATGTAGTTAAAACGGAATGCTTCTCCCCCACAACTTTCCAGTAGAACTTCTCAGTATTTGTATTAATTTTTCCTGGGAATGTCACCCCTGCCCCCCAGTGAACCTCGGTGAAGTGTTATTTTGTTAGTATAGACTGCATGGTTTATATCATAGTCACTGACCCTGATGTGTTAACACTAATACTCTTCCACATGTAATGATTTCCTGCCCTGTCCAATTACAAATTTTATTGGTAGCAGTTCTGGGCATCTCTGCAAGTTGTACCGTGGGTGAGGGCTGGGGCCTCTGGTGGTGTGTGTCTGCATCAGGTGGCCTAGAAGGAGGAGGACCATGCTGCAGGAGGATTGTGGGCAATGTTTCTCCCAGACACTTTCTCCTTGCTGGGAAAGGCTTCCTTTGGCCAGCTCCCGTGGAAAGGACTGTGATGGAACCTAGAAGGCACAGCAGTCATGTTTGGCTTCCCCAGAGCACAGAACTGAGATGGCCCTCAAGGTCATCTAGTTGACCTCCCCTTCAGACAGACTATTCAGTGCAGGATGTGGCAATGTAGATCGCAACTCTCTCATGGCTGCGAGAAACCTCCGTCTCCGCAGGCCATTTTGCCCATTTTGTCAGATGATTTGAAGGTGGTTCCCCTCTCGGTTTCTCTGGTCCCTGTAGTGCCCGGTGGCCTTGGGAATCAGCTAGAGGCTAAGCTGGACAAGCCAGATGTGGTGAACTGGATGTGCTATCGCAAAACCGACGATTATTTTACCATCTGGCTGAACCTCAACATGTTCCTGCCTTTTGGACTGGACTGTTGGATTGACAACATAAGGTACGCCTCCCAGGTGGAGCTCCTCTCTCCCTCCTCAGACAGAAGCGCCCCCAATGCACGGCATCTCCACTCTTGGCCTCTCCTGTGCCCGCTGGGATGGGGGTCCTCGCTCTGCCCCCCATCGTGATTTCCCAGAGTGCTCCTGGTGCCCAGAGCAAGGGAGCAGGAGAGTCATGGGAGGAGAGGGAGAGAGTGCTGGGGGTTAGAGTAGAGGAAGGGGTGCACTGGGGGACATCTCCCAAACACACAAGATATTGTGCTAAGCTGTTATTTGCTTTATATACCACCATTGGCTATATTCACAGGCTTTGCTAAACTGTAAACCATGATTTATGAACAATGGCTGGGTTCAAGAGCACATTAAACCAAAACTAAGCAAATTACATTGTGACTTATTGCAGTCGCTGAATGCTTCTCTCCCACAACTTTCCAACAGAACTTCTTGGTACAGTATTTGTATTAATTTTTCCTGGGAATATCGCCCCTGGCCCCCAGTGAACCTCAACGAAGTGCTTATTTTGTTATTACAGACTGCATGGTTTATATCATGGTCACTGACCCTGATGGACTTCCGCTGCTTTCGCGTGGGATTCAGAAACAAGCCCCACCCCCACCTCTGCCAATGTAGATCAGTTTGCCCATCCTAGCTTCCTTGCTTGTGAGCTGGAAGGCCCAGAGGATACCGAATCCACCTTGTGCCCAGGGCAGGAACCCTAGAGTGGCTGCCTGGCCTCCTCTTGAGCTCCTCCAGAGAAAGGGAGTCCCCACTGCTCTGGGTCTCTGACTGCACCGTTGAAGCGCTCTGACTGTTAGGAGGCTTTTCCAAGCATTCGAGAACTTGCCTTTCTGCCTGGTAGTAGCTGCAACGACCCAGAGCTGGCAAGACTGCGTCATGATGTCATGACACAAGTCCCATCTTCCTGGGCTGGCCTCCCAGCACTGGACACTCATCTGCAAGCCGGAGTTTCATCGCCCCTGCTCCTGCCTCTCCTTCAGCATTGATGCCACTGGTGGCGTCTCTTGGTCCTGACCTGGTGTGTCTTTTCTCGAAGTGGACGCTGCTTTCTGTTTGCAGCGATTAAGCCTCATGGACTTGGGTATTTTGGAGTTCATTGGGAAAGGCCCGATTGCTGGGGCTGTGAGAATGGAGGGGGCTTCTCTGAGTGGTCGTCTGCACAGCAGCCAGCCCCGCTGGTGCCCCAAGGACCATTTCAGGGCCCTCCCAAGCGGCAGACGGCGAATTCGAGACTATTAGGAAAAACCTGCTAACAGGCAGAGCAGTTCAAGGGTGGAACCAATGATCTGGCCAAGCACATGGCCTTGCCTTAAGATCAGTGGGACTTCAAGCATTGGCTCGAATGGACGAGAAGAGTCCCGTCCGAGAGCTCTCGTTGGAATGTGACGGATTTGATTTGGGAAGATTCTGCTCCGCTAATAATGGGGATCATGTGTGATAATCCCAGGGCAAATGTTATTCTTCCCTTTCTACTTAAAGACACTAAAATACAACTTCTACCATTCCAGAGAGTATTCATCTTGTTTCCAAACAAAGCAAAACAAAATATATCCAACTAGGGGAAAATCTGGAAATTAAAAAAAGGCTCACTGCAACCTGTATGGGGATCTGGCCCCATAAAGCCCTTTTGTTACCGCAGACCTTGATCCAGAGCTCATGCAGCAGAATTAGGGTTACCAATTTCACCTGGTTGACAACCCCAAATATTATAAAAAAGCCACAGTTTCATCTCATGTATCTGCTGTCCAGTAGTTGCAATTCACATGTTCCCGTTTTGCCATCTACTCCATTATATGCAAATGCTCTTGATTGGTTACTCTGCTTTCCCCAGAAAGTCAACAGGGGGAGTCCTCTGGTTCTCGAGATTTCAGTCATCGTAGATATAAAGGATTAATGCTTGGAGTCTTTAGATCAAACCTGGCAGTAATCCTGAACTTGATGTACCCCCTTAAAGTTCTCTGTTACTCCTGTTTTTTAGGGACCTGCATATATATTAAGTGATAGCTAGAATTTCAGAACTTTTAAGGTGGCCTTTGTTGGAAGTGGACTTTCTAGAGCAATGATTGTGTTTTCTTTTGCACCACCCTTGGGGACGTAGAGTGATTTACAATAAAACCACCCGGAGGATAACCAGTGCCCCTGGAGTCCACATCAGAGTTCCTGGGTTTGGCAAAACCTTCTCCGTGGAATACTTGGATGGTGGCAAATTGGCTGGTAAGAAGAATGGGGGAAGGTGCTCCCACCCCAATCACCTCTCCAGATTAGGCTCTGGATGGCAGGTTGCTTCTAGCCTAGGGCCCCTTAGCCCATGGGAATTCTCTCTGCCAGGCAGAAGAGAGGTTAAAAACAGTGCTACTGAGTGGCATTTCGTAGAGTGCACTTCTCCAGTAACAGAACTCTGCCTATTGTAAGTAACCTGTATTTAGGACCATTTCTCTAAAGAGGTGGTTGGAAACCTACTTTTTTATCAGGACAGCAGTCCAGGATGGATCGGGATGAGCGCATGAATACAGGGGAAAGCCAGCCCCCTGCTGGGAAGCCGCATGGCCAGCCTGGCTGAGTGGAGCTCATGACACCTGTGGTTGAGAGGTCACCCTGAGGGAGCCACCCCGACTCCCAAGCTTTTGCAGCCTCTGCTGCTGCTTCCTGCTCCTCTTGGCTCAGGAACTGTGGCAGAAGCTTGTGGAGGGGGGGACACGGCATACCACATTTTGCCCCTTCCCCCTTTCTGCTGGGACACACATAGAGAATCATTTGGAGAAGCTTCCTTGTTTGAGAGCCACACTCATCAGAGGTAATTGCTGGGGGTAATCTATCCTGAGCTGGAGAGGAGCCTACAAGGGTGAAATACATCCCCAAGCGGCCTCTCCTCAGTCTTCGGTTTCCCAGTTTCCTGGGATGAAATAATGGCGGAGAGTTTGGGCCATAGGCTGCCTATCCCTGGTCTGTGTTGCCCGCACAAAGGCCCTCCCTCCCTCCCTCCCTATCTGGGTGTCTGATGTGCAATTATCATGACTAGAGAGAAGCAGCTACTGAAGAGTTTGGCCAAACAGGTCCACATGCTGCTTTTTACCGGTGTAGTAGAGCAACCACAACCTTCTTAGGTGAATCAGCTGGCCAAAATGTCACCCTTCAGGCAGAGATATGTTTAGGTAGGAAAATAATACATTTGAAATTACATTATTATTTCCCTACTTTGAAAAGGCATCCTAGGCATTGAAAAGATGGGGCCCTCTTTGAAAGGATGTTCAATGGAAGGCAGTCCTCTTGCTTTCAAAAAGTTGTTCAGGGATCTGCATGAACTCTACTCAGAGTCACTTTGATCCTGGTACCTTTTCTGAAAACCGTGTGGCTTCTTCAGAGGAGGTCAAGGATGGTTTGGGAAGGAGTTTGGGGTGGGGAAGATGAGTAGTCACCTGGACCATGAAAGCCAGGGAGGCCTTGAAACACCTTGCAATAGGTAAAAAAAACCCCTTGCAGACAGTTCTCCTGGGAGGTAGTCCTGCCATCTGCTAATGCTCACTTCTCTTCCTTGCTCTAGGGTATATGCACACCCTGGTGCAGCACCTGGTCAATAACGGCTATGTTCGTGACCAGACAGTGAGAGCTGCCCCATATGACTGGAGGCTTGGGCCCAGTGAGTACAAATGGGGAGATCTTGAGAACCTGGGTGTTAGAAAGTTGGGCTTCATCCTCCTGCTCTTCAAGGGGTCTCAGTAGGGAGGAAGGTGGAGATGGGATGAGTAGGGTCATCAGAGTCCCCTTCGAGGTGTTTAATACAGCTTGTACATCCTATATCACCAATGCCCAACTCAGATCCTACAGCAGTGGAGTATAGAAAAGGTAGAGGAGATTACATTCCCTCAGGCTGTTATTCTGCAGATCAGAGATGTATAATGTTCTTCTTCAAGCCTTTGGAAGATCCTCAAATTAAGACAAAAGGTTGATAGTCATAGGTGATGCAAGTTACCCTCACACTGACCTTAGAAACTAAAACTCACTCTGTTGATGACAAAGTGGCCAAACCTTTAAAGATTCAAAACCATGACTGTGCCATGGAACCAACTGCAAGGGAGGGGACACTTGGAAATTATCCTAGCCAGTACTTTTGCATTAAAGAGCTAGTTCAAAGATAGTGCCTGTGTACAGATAGCCATAGACCATGACATCAGATTGAGACCATCCACTTTTCAGTAGGGTTCAAGCTGGGGTAGAGTACTGAGATGGCGTTGGTTGTGCTGGTGGACGATCTGTGGAGGGCTCAGGACGGTGGTGGTGCATCCATCCTGCCCTCCTGGGTCTCTTAGTGGCTTTCGATACCATCGACCATAATTTTCTTCTGGATCGATTCCCGGGGCTGGGAGTGGGGGGCACTGTTTTGTGGTGGTTCTCCTCCTTCTTCTATGGCTGGTTCCAGATGATGTTGGTGGAGGAGGGAGATCAAGCCCTAGGCCCCGTGCAGTGTGGGTGCCTAAGGGCTCAAGTCTCTTGCTGCTCCTTTTTAATATCTACATGAGACCATTGGGAGAGGTTATCTAGCGGCACAGGGTGCAGTATTGTCGATGTCCACCCCGGCAGGCCAAGTGACACTATCTCAGTGCTGGCCCAATGCCCGGAGGGTGTAAGAGTTTGGATGGGGAGGAACCGGCTTCAACTTGACGGCAGCAAGATGGAGTGGCTCTGGGTTTTTGAGCCTCCTGGGTCCAGTGATATGTTGTTTTTTACTGTTGCTGGGATAGCACTCCCCCAAACAGAGCTAGTGCACAATTTGGGGGTCCTCCTGGACTTGTGGCTCCTGCTCAAGGAGTAAGCAGTAGCCTTAGCTAGGGAGCCTTTGGACGGACCCATCTTGTGTGCCACTTAAGGCCATTCCTGGACTGAAGCCTTGCCCATAGTCATTCATGCCCTGCTCACTTCCCGGTTGGATTATTGCAATGCCCTCTACATGGGGCTGCCCTTGAAGACCATCTGGAAACTACAGCTAGTCCAGAATGTGGTGGCTGGTGCGGTTCTGGGGCTCCGCAGTCTGCCCATATTACACCATTGCTGCCCAAGCTGCACTGGCTTCCAGTTTCTTTTTGGGTACAATTCAAGGTGCTGCTTATCACCGTTAAACTCCTACCTGGCACAGGGCCAAATTATTTGGTGGACTACCACTCCCGGAGGATATCTGTCCATTCCACCAGGTCAGATAAAGTAGGTGCACTCCAGGTCCCTTCCCTCAAATGTTGCCCTCCACAGGGACCTAGGAAGCGTGCCTTTCCCGTAGTGGCCCCACCCTATGGTACAGAGCCCCTCAAGCTCCGTTGCCCCTGCCTGCCTTCCAGGAGGCCTTGAAGAGCTGGCTATTCCAACAAGCACTGGAGTAGAAGGAGGCCGGAGCCCAGCAAGATGGTGTGGAGATATGGGAGTGTTGCCCTGAGGTGCCCTGAGTTTTTATAAAGCTTTTACTGATTTGTATATTTTGGGTTGGGGGTTTTCTGTTGTTTTTACTGTTTTGTGTCCTGCCCAGGGTTGTTGTTACAATACTAGTGACCATATAAGTCTTTTAAAAGAAATAAATCACATCTTCAGCAGATAATTGCAGCCTGACCAACCCATGGCTATGGCTTGCACCAGTTGTCCAATCTCTTCTGAAATTGCCCCAACAAAGCAGCCGCAGGTTCAGGGCTTGGGGCAACAGGAAACTCCTTTTCTCCTCCTTACTGAAACCAGCTGATATTACCCTTTCCCTAGTCAAGGATTTTTCTTCCACAAATGTGCATTAAGAAGAATGAAGAGAGTGGGGCAGACCTGCAGTAATATGTCATCAGAGGGATTTGATATTTCCCACCAGTCACTGCTTTTGGCATATTTGAAATCCTGGCACAATAAATAAACAAATAAAATGTGACATTATATTAAACGAGCGAAGGGAGAGACAGGGGGGAGGGCGTTACAGCATTCGGCTGTGCAGCCTTCAGCAGTGGGGGGGGGGGAGGTGGGGTTGAGGGCTGGCTCCATCTCCCCCAGCAGCAGCCCACCCCCAGATTCCCCACACCATATCTCCCCGCCTGCTCTTTCTGCAGCACTGCTCTTCTCTCCTCGCTTGAGCACTGCAAGACTCAAGGGGCCGAGAGCGTTTGCCCACAGGCCCCGGGGCCCAGCAGAGGAAGGTGCCCCCCGCACGCTGGGCAGGGCACTGGAAAACATCCCACTTGAACCCCAGGAGTTTTGGGGCAGAGGTTCCCTCCAATACTATTCCTGTTTCCACAGCAGAGCAAGAGGAGTACTACTGCAAGCTGCGTGCTCTCATCGAGGAGATGTTCGAAACTTACCAGAAGCCAGTTTTCCTCATTGGCCACAGCCTGGGCAGCCTTCAAGTCCTGTACTTTCTGGTCCAGCAGCCACAGCACTGGAAGGACCGTTTTATTCAGGGTTTCATTTCCCTGGGAGCTCCCTGGGGGGGAGCCGTGAAAGCCATGCGGGCCCTTGCCTCTGGTGAGTCACCCAGGAGCTTCAGCAGCGTCTCCCTGGGGCCCAAGCAGTGCTGGGCGGAGCCCACCTGCCCTTCATCATCTCCAGCTTTCCCCACCCCAGCCCAAAGCCCCCCTTTTTTCCCTATTGCTCTCAGGCAATGCTAAAGATGTATTTATTTTATGTATTTTAATTTCTATAGCCTTTAAAAAGATCCTGGTACATGTTGAGTGTACCTTGCCCCCAGCCCCCTGCCCCTTCTGAGGAAGAAAAAAATAGGAGAGTCATTCACCTATTTCTGTCATCACACCCAGTTTATCTCTGGGAAGAATTCTTGGAATGTTAATCTTGGTTTAAGATTATTCAACAGCTGTCTCTGAATAACATTGTAATGCAGGGTTTTTTTACTACAAATCAACAAACCTGAAAAGGTGGGAGTAGAATAATCAATTCCACTGGTGTCATTTGCAGGTGACCATCAGGGCATTCCTCTTATGTCTAACATTAAGTTGCGTGAAGAAAAGCGTACGTCCACCAGCAGTCCCTGGGCGTTTCCAACACACATGGCCTGGCCTGAGACACATGTCTTCATCTCTACCCCTTTCCACAACTACACCTACTGGGATTACCAACAGTTCTTCACTGATATCAACTTTGAAGATGGCTGGTACATGTGGAACGATAGCAAGGATCTGCTGAAAGGGCTGCCACCCCCAGGTGTGGCAGTCTATTGCCTGTTTGGCACCGGATATCCCACTCCAGAGACCTACATTTATGATGACCGCTTCCCCTACGAGGACCCGGTGGACGTTGTGTATGGGGACGGGGATGACACGGTTAGCAGGCATAACATACAGCTGTGCAAGCAATGGCGCAACCAACAGAAGGAGAACGTCCACACCCTGGAGTTGCCTGGAGCTGAGCATCTCAACATGGTCTTTGACAACCGCACCCTACAGTACATCAGCAAAATCCTGTTCGGGAACCTAGAGAACATGACTGCCGCAGAAGACCTGGGGGGAAAAGCCCTCTGAAACCCCAAGTGAAGGGAAGCCCTCCCCCGATGAGAAACTGGCTTTTATTTTCTCTGCTGGTGTGGGGAGGAAACACGAAAGCTCACATAGGGCCACAGCACTGTAGCCTTCCCTGTTCTGGAAAGACTCAAGGGAGCTGTCCACATCAATGCTGGTGCCACAGTGTTATGTGGCTGATAGAATAGTTCCCATTTCCCCACCGTATTTTTCACGAGACCATGCCAACCAGCCCAGAGTTACATTTACTGCTTGTAGGCTTCTGGAAAGCAGCAGTGACTTTTCAGAAATTGTAATGGTATGTGGGAATGACCTTGGGAGACAGGGTGAAGAGTCGCAGCCAAGGGAACAGTCAGATAAAAGGCAGCTTAGCCCGCAGCAGGCAAGTGGGAGGGGCAAGAGGCTCAGGAGAGACCCTCCCTAGTTTCTTGGGCTGTAAAGGAGATGGGGGGAGAATTGCACTTTCAGACTTGCAAGATTTTGTTAATGTAGCTTTACAATAAAGTAGAATGAGCTCATCTGGTCGTGTTTCCTGTCTGGTCTACCTAGTAAGGCTGACATCAATCTTGCAAGCCTCTCACTCTCTTCCAAAGGGAGGATTTTCAGGAATGGTCTCTGATCCTCAAGGAACTCCGCTATCGGCTGAGCATCTGGCAGCAGCATTGTTGCAACGCCAGCAGCTAGTAGACGCACGGATGACCAATTTGCAGAATGCCATGATACAACTAAGGCAACAGCTGGGGCAGAATTTGCCCCAACCCGCGGCAGCACAACCGATGGCGGTGTAAGATTTACTCCGTTCATCTCAGAGAAACTCTCGTGACACGTGTGTTCAGCAAAGAAGTTTACTCAAGTGTAATGTAAATAAGTACAAACAAAGCCAAGGTCGGCTTGGCATAGCTTTCAATGTATTTTATAGCTTCCCCGTTCCCGCGCTTTACCCGTTGCTTAGTTACAGATTGCCCCCAGTAATCCCCCCTCGCCCAAATGGCAGATTCAGTCCTCTTTCTGATTGCAGTCTATGGGTTGTGCTGTTGTTGCCTTTGTTGGGTTTTCCTGTTTGCACGCAAGGCCGGGGGTTCTTGATCGCTCGTTGATTGCTTCGCTTCCGAGCCTCTG